CAATGGTTCAAACTAGTTGTTGACTCGTCGCTTTACGGTACTTGACCTTTACAGCCGCTTATTCCACCGGCAATTGTATGCGCTAGATAGCATTTAATCGATTAATGTTTCAGTTATTATTATTGACGTGGCCCTATTTGTGCGCCAAACAATTTCCGCCAGCATCCTTGCCCTGTACATCCTGTTGTGATTCCCAAACCCATCCAACGGGATCCGCAATTGCATCTCTTGGGAAAAAATCGCAAACACTTTCTCCCACGAACGCAAAACCGTTGGATGGTTAATCAACTCGAGACAAATGACAGTGCGTCTACCTTCCATCAAACGGGACCGCCTCCTCAAACTCATTTCAGAAACACTGGCGAATCCGTCTCTGTCCCTTCGCGATATCACGATTCTTCTAGGGCACGTTTCCACTGAAACCACAGTCTGTCGATGGATGCGTTGTTCCTACTTCAACTTGCAACGTGTCCTGAGTCAATTTCTCCAATCCCGCCACCAATCCATCAAACATTACATGAAACGCAACGGCAAAGTCCAAATCATCTCCGACCAACTACCTCCATCCCTCTGCTACCGCCTTGCTTCCCTTATTGGAAAGGAAGCAGCTACTTTCCTATGGAATGCCAACAAGCGATTCCGACTTGACGAACCTGTGCTCCGCGAACTCCGAGCCATCAAGCACAGCCTCAAAACAGAGACTTGGGAAATCTACATTCTCCAGATGATCCCTCAAGACCCCCATTTCACGTCGTACGGAGATGCTAGCTTTCTTGGAGGAGGCGCCTATTCCGACGAACTCCTCTTTTGGTTCCGCATAGTTTGGAGCCCAGATATTGTTGCTGGTACAAAATTGAAAGCCAGCAACCCCAAATATGTCCACATCAACAGCCTTGAGTTCTTGGTAGCTTTTCTACAGGAAGTTGCCAAGGTTGTCCGCCTTGAAGGAACTTCCCATGCCCATCCAGGCCTGGCCCACAAATTCCCCAACGGATTTTCCCACTTCCCAGTTCTGCTCAACCGCACTGACAACACTCCCACTGAGAAATGGATGAATGATGCCCACACCAACAGCCCTTTTGCACGCCTTTTGGTCAACTTGCACGGTCAGCTACTCAAACGCTCCTCTCTGACTGCTCTTTCTGACCATATCCCTGGTGATGACAACTTTGCTGCTGATTTTATTTCACGCCCAAACATGAAACTCTCTCACCATCAATTACTTTCGCAGACATTTTGCACTTTACCTTGGATGAGAAACTACGATTATGTCCAGCCGAGTCCCAAACTTTGCTCCGTCCTGCGCTCCTGTCTATTCTCCAATCCAAAGCAGGCGCCACCGATGATCCCCGCAAATCTGGGACACTTTGTTCCCGCCGACTCCATTTCCTCAAGTTTTGCTATGATATGAACCTATGCGACGACTACTTAATGAGATGACTACTTAATGAATGGCCCCGACTTCCCTCACGAACGCCGCGTCGCAACCTTTGCCCTCTACACCGTGGCACTTGCTACCGGTCGAACCCTTAAAGGACAATACATCAAGTCTGCCACAATCAAGCAGTACCTCCATGCCGCAGTGTCTTTTTTCTGCCTTTTTACCGGTCGTGATCCCCAATACAACAACCCGAGCGATACCAACATGTCTCCCGATATTCATACCACCCTTGCTGAAGTGGAGCGCCATGAAAAAGTTCCCAATAAACTTGAGCCCTACACCCTTGACATGCAACATCACCTTGAGCAACACAATATCGACACCAAAGCCCACCGTGACGGTCTCTGGAAAACATGTGAGGACTGGAACAGTATCGGCCTGCTCGATGGCCACCGCCTGTCCGAGTATGCCCAAACTTCCGCCAACAAAAATATTGGCGACCAAGCCACCTTTGACGGCATTTCTATTGCATTTTGTGTTGAAGATGTTACCTGTTTCGACAAGTTCAAACGTAAAGTATCCCTTTCCGACTTCCTTCAGAATCCAGACCTTGTTTGGCGCATCAAAACGCGTTTCTCCCATCAGAAGAATGGTAACCATGGGGAAGAAAAACTTTTTATTCGCAGTGAAAAGTCCCCACTCCGTTGCTACATCCGTCGGATGCATTCCATCCTTTCCCGGTTTGACCGATTGATTGGCATTTCCACAACCAATGTTCCCCTTGCGGTATACCAAGATGGCGCCGGAGTCCTCTTCCTTCATGACGCCGAAATCACCCCTGTCATGCGCAATGTTACTTGTTCGCTCTACAACCTAGACCCAAAAGACGACAAGATCCAGTATTCTTCCCACTCTATCCGAGTTGGCGCCTGTGTCCTCCTCCACACCTCCCGAGCAACCACTGACCAGATCAAGTTCCTCCTCCGATGGAAATCAGATGCCTTTATGGCATACCTGCACAACATTGCCCATCTGTGCATGCAACAAAATGATGCCATCACAATGATCGATGCAACTACATTTCTTATATAACTACCTTGCTACCCTACGCAACTTTTCCATTCCCTTTCGTATGATGCCCCAGCCATCAAAATTTTTTCCTTCCTTCCTTTCTTTTTCTTTTTCCCACTCCATGCACTCGCTAGTGTATTGGCGCTTTCTTTCCGTTTCCTCCGGAAGCGACCGCATACCATTCCTTGGCCTGATTTATCTCTTCTGCACCAAATGCTTGGTACCATTCAGGTCCCAAATTTGTGTCACGTTTGAGTCCATTGAGTCGAATCTTCAATTCCCGTCTTCAAATCCGGTCCCTAATTCTAGTTACCAAGCTTACGATGCCAAACTTACATCTCTTACTTACGTATGGAGGACTGGCATAACCTCGTTTGGTACAAATTCGTAGTATGCAATCATCCTAGGCCAATCACGAAGTGGAGGCGGCGCATGGTAGTAATCCGTAGGATTATGATCAGGCAAGACGGTAGACGGACTGGCAAGAGAAGACATCTGTCTTCACGCCAACAGTCATGTCGTCAGTCGCTTAAGCAAAGTAACGGTAATTTATTGGACAAAAATTCGGGGAGGATCAACATGGCAAACGAAGGCGTGAACAGAAGCATTCTTTTTGCCAAGTGCAAGATGAAACGATGAAGAGCTAAGGAACCATGATCATCTGAAACAGTTCAGAACAATGATATCTTTTTTTCCCACCATCCCACCCAGTTCCTGATTTATCTCTTCCGCACCAAATGCTCGGTACCATTCAGGTCCCAAATTTGTGTCACGTTTGAGTCCATTGAGTCAAATCTTCGATTCCCGTTTTCGAATCCGGTCCCTAATTCTAGTTACCAATGTTGGGATATGACGAAATATGAGTTTTTACGTTCCAAACGAAACTATTCAAGTACGAGGTTTTCGACACGTGCGATCGGAATTTGATCGTGCAAGATGTCGGGATTTGACGCAAGTATGCCGGA